TAAAAAGATAAGGTAAGATAAAAGGCATAAGATAAAGATATACTTCCTCCGTTCCATAAAAGTCGCAACATTGGAATTTCTGCACTATTCACACACCTTACTTTGACTACGATTTTCTAATAATATATATAATAAAAATATTATGTGTAAAATATTAATAAATTTGTATTAATGTAAATTTCCAATATATTAACTTTTTTTAATGTTTACTAATACGCAAATAAATATAATTATAGTCAAAGTTGCGTGTTGGCAAACGTGAAAGTCAAACTGTTGCAACTTTTATGGAACGGAGGATAGTATATAAAAAGAATATAAAAAGACAAAAGAACATAAGAAAGATAAAAGATAAAAATAACGTAATAAGAACATAGAAAGATAAAGAAGATAAAAAGATAGATAGAGAGAGAGAGAGAGAGAAACAACAACAACAACATTCAAGCACAGGTAGTTCGAACATTCAACTAAAATATCTTGGCAATTTGCTCAGAATAGTTTAAAATTTGGTAAACTCTTTTGGTAAACAAAAAAGGCATGTAGAGTACTTACTTTTTACGGCCTGCTTTGTTGCTATCGCCCGATCTTCCAGATTTAACATTGTTATCAAAGGTGGAAGTAGGTGATCCTGTAGCTACGGCATTATCTTTCTCTGCAGCTGCTAAATTAAAATAGTCCTGGAAAAAGTTATACTCACTCCACCAAAAGAGTCTGTATGACCAGGGCACAGCATTTTATTTATTTTTATAGTAGAATGGTTATAAGCACATTTCCTCCGTACCCTTGTAATGTTCTGAGTTGGTCTAGGCACACAGTTTGAGAAAAAGAAAATTATGTGGTCCATATTTAAGTACAGAGGAATGGAAAAATATGAGCAGCATCCAAAAAGAAGATAAAAGAATGATTGTTTATATGGCTACGCTTAAATGGCTAATGCGCTGGAAGGTAGGAATGGAAAAATATGAGCAGCATCAGATGGGAAGAAGAATGATTGTTTAGAGACTATCCAAAAAAGAAAGTATGAAGATAAAAGAGGGAGGGAGTACTTACACTTTAGAAACATTTTTAATAGTTTAACTGAACTTATTACATTACACTTGTTTGTTCCAATAAGGAAAATTTTTAAAATCCTCATTCTATCAAACAGCGCTTTTTTTATAGACAATAAAACCCAGGGAAACAGGATTGTGTTTATGGGATGAAGCGAATAATATTGGAGCAGAAAGCTATCCGGATATTACTTAAACAAGGAGAAGTTTACCTCTACGGAGCTCCTCGTCACACTTTTTCAGGTACTGATCTAGCTGTTGGATATGAGTATCTACCTGTCCAATGAAACTTTTTGGTGAATTCAAAGAAACAATAAGATAATCAATTTTTTGTTAAAGTTCTAAAATTCTAGTCCACGTAATGTGTGCAGGATTACATGGGGGTAAGAACCAGAGACAGAATATTGCAGTATGACGCACTTGGACATAAAGCAAAAATCACATACTTTAGAATTTTGTGTCTTGAAGCATAAAATAGCATGGCGTCTCTCTCTATCATTTCCAATTCTTATCCAGACAGAACTACACTGTCATTTTATTGTAGAATTAATGGGAAACATATCACTGTTTACCTATACTTCTTTCTTCCCAATTCCTATCCGGACAGAATGACAGATATATGCTTTCATTTCATAGAACTTTTGAGAAAACATATCCCCGTTTATCTTTACCTAAAAAAATTGAGTGTGTTCTTTTGCTTTTCCAATAACAAGCGCCCATCAACAGATAGCAATACTCTATCAAACTATTGAGCAGGAAATCAGGAAGAAAAATACCCCGAAAATTCAAACTTAGAAACTGGTAATAAGTCTAATGATTCTTTTTCCTAAATAAGCATCGACAAAGTAATAGACTGCTCCTCTTCTGCTGAAGCTATTATAAACAAGTAAGTGATCAGGAAAATCCGAAAGCGCGTCTCTGAAGGTTCACGGAAAAAAAATCTGGCAAAGTTCACATATACACACATAAAATACACTTGATTTAGCAGGGAAATGCAAATCATGGGCATAGATTTTGGCTTTAATTACAGCAGAAGGTAGTGTTTCATACTTACTATATCATAAGCTTGAATGGCTAATGCAACTTTCTCGTCAGCAATCCGGATCGCATGCTTTTGTTCATCCAGTGTATCATCCGAGAACTTGATAAGTGAAGAGTCTGAGGTAATATTACCAGTCTTAATACGCTGCTTCATTTCCTCAATTTCCAGTTTACAACGCTGCTCAGTTTGCCGCTGCACTTCTGACAACAATAAACGGCTTGCTTAACATGTTTGTATGTGTACACTTTTGGGTAAAAATATCTGTGTGAGACGTGAGTAGAAATAAAATGGTTTGTGTAAGAGAAACGCAGATATGAATAGGATGGAAAGCTCAAAAATAATATAAAATAATCATACCTTGTAAACTTTTGTCTAGATCACGCATTAATGCATATTTCTTCTGTAATAGATTTGGTATTACAGCCAAATCTGCAAAAAATGCAAGCTTAATATTGAATGATAAATCAAATTTTCGCAAGAAGGAAGTAGTTACAGAAATGGACGGGTCTGACATAACTGGTTGTCCCCTTCCTAGGAGTCCCATTGTTTTAAGTTGTTCAGAGGGCATATATAAATGTACATTCAAGTGAAGTCATTGATGCCTTTGAAATTTTTAGGTATCGTTATGAGTCAATGTGCGCAACTGTGCATGTGTTTGTCACATATAGTTATAATATACTCCTGTTTATTTAATTATTTCTTTTATTAATCCGTACTATATTTAATAATAGAGCAGAGGGTAATACTGAAATTCAAAATCGCTGTTCCCTATTATGTAAAGAGTACTCCCATCTCAAAATAATACAGAGTATCTGCATTAGTCAAGGTAAAACTTTTCCGTTTTGAAAGGGTACATCTCTTGTAAATCACTAATCATATTCACCAAAAAAATTAAATTATCTTTTGTAATACTGAATTCAACATACTTAACTTGGAAAACTCTTCGTGAAAATTTACATCTGATTGAATGCAATTAAGTTTTTTTGTTGAAACGACTCTTTATTGGAAAAAATAGGTTTTGAAATAATAATTCCATGTCTTTCTGAATTCAGATACTCTAGTAGATGTCTGAACCATATATGAAAATGATCATCTGGTCTTTCCTCCACGCTTTGACAATCTCATACAAAACCAGTTTGCTCATCAAGTAACCCTTGGCAATGTGAACCCAAATTAACAAAGTATAAGGGGGTGTTTGGAATTGATTCTTCTTCTGCTTCATTTTTAAAAGCAGAAGCATAATCAGTTTTCAGAAGCTGGTCTCCCTCAGCTTCTGAAAAGTTGCTTCTAGGGGCAATTTGGAGCACCCAGAAAGTGTTCCTGCACTTTCACCCGAACACTCCAATATCCCCTTCTGATAGAGGGGAAACGGTTTTAAGAAGTAGATCCAGACACCCTCTAAGTAAGGCGTGGATCCCAAAGCTTAACCATTTCCATGTGAAGTGTTAACATTACCTCCAAATTATTGGATGCTTCAGAATCTCAAACACTTTATGGGTTCAAAGATAGTAATGGAGTATAGTCTAAACATGATATCACAATGTGGAGTTTACCTATATGAAGCATTGTGAATTGAACATGACAGACATACAAATAGAATGATGTAATGAGATAGCAGAGGCATACTGGTCTCGAATTCATCAATAAACGACATCACTTTGCAGAAATTTCTATTGCTTTTCCAGGAAATCCTCCGAATGAACTTCGTGAACGAGGATGATACAATCTGATTTGGTATATGCACGACTCTAAGCACATGCAAGCTCCTAAAAAAAGAGATGATCAAGGATAGCAAGATGAAGATCATGAGACATTTTCTTATTCTATTCCTATATACTAGACTACTGGTAAGTAGCTTACATGTTATGAGCTACAGGAATAAAAATCATCTCATCCTCTTAATCTGTTAATCAATCAATCCTCCTGTTGAACTATCCTCCCCTAAAGAAAAAGTCTCCAGTTTGCCCAGAAAATTCCATTAAAAAAACAAAAATCACCTTCTCCAATAACCTCTGCCCCTTTCGTAAAATTGAAATTAAAATTTACGAACTCTGCAGACGCCACCGAACAAGAAGTCTAGAACTAACCCGTGACGGCAGAACTCAGATGCAAAATCGGAACTACAGAACTCCGAAACAAAGCACCATAGCGAAAATAAAATCATACGAATGGCAGTTTGCTAAAACGAAAAATCCGACGACTTTCGATCTGCATAAGCACCACTTTTTCTGGACATCATAAAAAGAGATGAATAGGTGGGCCCTTACCATTCATAGCAGCTCTTTCTTTCCCTCTTTCGGCGTCATCGAGTCTGGAGGCGGAGGTCTTGGCTGCAATGCACGCCGTTAAATGGGTGCTGGATGCGGGCTTCTCTAATATTGAAGTAGAGATCGATTCTTGGAATGCTCTGAAGTACCTGAGTATCTGATGTTGGAGAAGGAAGGTGGGGAAATGCTGTTTAGACCGTTGGGAGGGGCTGGTGTAAATGTCAAAAATGAACTCTTCCATGTTAAAATAGTATTTTTACTTCTATTTCTTTGCATTCCAACACCGTCAATAAAATACACTCTTCACATTTTTTACATATCAATTTTGTAAAACATTAATTAAATTATTATAAGTAATGTTTTTCTTTTATTTTTTCTCTGATTAAATATAAAATAAAGAAGACACATTTCGATGTAAAAAAAAACAAATTTCATTAATATTTTTTTACGTTTTTCGATGAAGTGAGTTCAAACACATTGGAACATTGGATTCTCTTCTCAACTTGCGTGTCTATCCATAGCACATTGGATTCCCTTTTCAACTTGTTGTGTGTATTCATATCACCTTGGATTCTCTTTTCCATTATGTGTGTCATGCATATCACATTATATGAAATTGGATTCTCTTTTCCACTATGTGTGTCCTTTCATAGCACATTGGATGCTATTCTCCACTTGGTGTATCCAAACATAATAATTTGGATGTATCCTCCACTTGGTGTGAGCATCAAAGAACTATATTACTATAAATACATGGTCTCACTTGACATTGGAGTCACACACATCAGCTTTACTTCTCCTATTTTCAAGTATTCTACTAGAAGGTCAAATAAAATCATGAGTTCTTTTCCCGCATTTTACAAATCCATCGATGAAGATGAAAATGAAGAAGCCTACTCCGACCGCATGCGCATGGCTTTGATGGCTTCTTTGGTTGCAACAAGCTCCAATAGCCGTGAGTACATAGACCGTGGTCGAGAAGCTGGACAGCGTTTGTTGATGGATGGTTACTGGAATCCAAATCCCACATACAATGCACGTACCTTTCGACATCGTTATCGCATGCAACCTGCTTTGTTCGATCGAATCATGAAAGATGCCATGGCTTTCGATCCGTATTTTCTGAGTACAGTAGATGCAGCAAACAAGGTATCTCTTTCTCCTCAACAAAAACTCACTAGTGCGATATTTATGCTCGACAATGGTTGCTCGGCTGATTCATTAGATCAGTTATATCGTTTGAGTGAGACAACCACACTATTGTGCATGAAGAAATTTTGTAGGGCAATCATTAGTGTGTATGATTCTTGGTACCTACGAACCCCTAACCCCGGGGATCTGCACCGTCTTCTTGAAAAGGCCTCAAAGAGAGGCTTTCCTGGGATGATTGGGTCAATTGATTGCATGCACTGGGAGTGGAAAAACTGTCCTACATCTTAAAATAGGAAGAAGTGAAATGTTTATATAGGATTTTCGGTCAAAATATTAATTGAAAATAAAGGAAAAATAAAATAAATAATTTTAACCGTTGGATTTCAATTTCAGCCATTGGATCAATTTTTCCACGGTTCAAACAGTGTCCAGATCATCACAGCCGTTGGATCTACCAATTTTTTTTAATTACAAACAAGCTAGAGCCGTTGGAAGTGCCCAATGACACCATCATGACGTCAACATGACATCATGCAATGAATTAAAACCTACGCTTGCATGCTCCACTATGACATCTTTCCTCTGCGCAGCAGCGTGTCCGTCCCCCACCCCTTTTACTTTTACTTTTCCATTTAATTTGAGGGAGTCAACTCCACCCTTCAAATTTGAACCCCTCCATCCCATTACCCACTTTTACTCCCCAAAATTGTGAACCACTACAAGGAATTAGGAGTCCAAAAATTCCACTTTTAGCATTTTGGAGTCCTAATCCTACACCACTCCAAGTGGTCTTAGGACCGTGTTAGGGCTGTTGGTTCGAGGAATTTTAGATTTTATGACGGGAAAGTCAGATCTATTGGTATGTTACATCGGATAGTATTCAATTTATTGGAATTTATGACGGGAAAGTCAGATTTATTAATATGTATTCAATTTATTTTCATTTGTTTGGTTAAGATTAATGGAATGTGACATTAATTTATTTGGTTAAAACATACTCCGTATCTTATATTGAAGATATGATGGGTTACTTCAATGCCCTTTAAATATTGAAATATCTTAATAATAAAAAAATCACATCTAATTGAATTATGGGTTTTTCCCTTAATATTACTAAATTGAACTCAAATTCCAAAAAATGTGACTACTTTTGAATATTGACAAAGATGTGATTAAAAAGGTCATATTTTTGGAAATTCAGAATATCACTGCAAAAATTTTATGTCACTATTTACTCTTTTCGTGTCACTATGAGTTGTCACTACCATATTTTTATGTCACTAATAGATGTCACTATCCGTTACCCATGTCACTGTGACTTTTCCGGCCCCTTTTTCCGGCAAAAATAATATACATTCTCCACAGTTTTTCTTAGTGAAACCGCCCCCGCTGTCGGCGAAATAGCGGTCGTCACCCCCTACCCCAGCTCCCCTCCCTTGCTCCTCCACAACCTACCCCGCCACCACCTGCCATGCCAAGCGCCGCCCAGCCCCTGCCACCACTTGACCCGCCCCAACGCCACCCAGAGACTTGCCCTAGCGCCCAACAACTAAAATTTTAACCGTGTTTGTGACTAATCTGGGAATCTCTCCACAATTTTGCAGAGAAGAAGGATCTCTCCACTGATCTGGAATTCGAGCAACCCTACAATCGCAACTACTAAAAATGAAAATAGAAAAATCAGATAGAAAGATCTAAGCGTCGTTTACACAAAATTATCTTGCTAGAGCAGAGGTCTCCGACGAAGTATCAACCACCGCCAATGGCGGCTCTGGATTTGCTATGCAAAGGCCACATCTGAAATATCTGTGAGAAATAATAACAGGTTTAACCAGACTAGTAGCCCTGACTGTATATTTATAATAAATGAGTCTCCAAATACAATTAGGATACTGTCTAATAATTAATGCTAATTAATCTACACTATTACACCCCCTCAAGCTATGCAGGAGGAACTACGCGTAGATTGTCACGTAAAAATAAAAACTGCTGAGGAGCCAAACTCTTTGTGAAAATATCAGCTAACTGAAACTTCGTAGGAACATGTTGAACCAGAAGATCACCATGAGCCACACGCTCGCGAACAAAATGATAGTCAATGTTAATGTGCTTACTGCGAGCATGCTGAATGGGATTAGAAGATTAGTATGATGCCGAAACATTGTCACAGAGGAGCCGAACTGGACGATGAATAGGAAAGCCAAGCTCAAACAGTATAGACTGAATGTGTAGAGTATCATGGACCGTGTATGCAATGGCTCGATACTCAGACTCAGGTGGACGATTTAGAGACAATGGGTTGTTTCTTAGAGCGCCAATAAATCAGATTCGGACCCAGAAAAATAGCGACGCCAGAAGTGGAGCGGCAACTATCAGGACAACCAGCCCAATCAGCATCAGAGTACGCAAGAACAGAATGAGGATGTGCGGAAGGCTGTAGATGAAGACCATGCGTGAGAGTGCCCTGCAGATACCTGAAAATTCTTTTCACAACTAACATATGTGAAGTATGAGGAGCATGCATAAATTGGGATACCAAGTGAACAACATATGTAATATCTGGTCTAGTCATAGTCAAATATTGCAATGCACCTACCATGTTACGGTACTCTGTAGGATCAGCCAGTAACTCACCATCAGTGAGAGACAATAACATGTGAGAAATAATAACAGGCTTAACCAGACCGGTAGCCCTGACTGTGTATTTATAATAAATGAGTCTCCAAATACAATTACAATACTGCCTAATAATTAATGTTAATTAATCTACACTATTAATATCAACCACCATTAATGGAGGCTTTGTCTTAGACGGAGCAGAGGATGGGAGTAGTTCTTCGCTTGACCTTGTATCATCTTGGAGTTTCCATCGTTGGGCTCTGTGTGGAATGAAGCTGCCGATACGTGGAGCTTTGGAAGGAAGGGTAGATGGATAGGTTATTACAGGTTTACATTTTAATCACTTTTTTGTGCAAATCAATTTTGGTCATATTTTTGTCTAATGAAAGTGAGCAAGTAATATTTGTGCCATTATTTCTTGAATTATTTTTAAATAGGTTAAATTGTAAGAGGTTGTAGATCCAATACAGAGATGAAAAAAATCTGTTCAAATAGCAATCTAAATATATTTATTATCATTTCAAAAAAATTAAATTTTAAAAATGTTCAAGTTATTCGTAAAACTTGTTTTCAAATTAAAGAAAAAATGATCAATTTTGTCATTAAATTTAGAAATACACTCATTAAAAACTTAAATAATCTATAAGTCTTATAACATAAATACCCTAAAAAATTTAAATGTTAAGGAAAAAAGAATTATGAAAATAACAAGAATAGACATTTGAATATAATTAAATAAACATACTCCATTCGTCTCACTTAAAAGGTTATCACATAATCTAGATATTCGACTGACTATAAAATTAAGAAATAATAACAAATATATAACCGAAACGAAGGTAATGGATAAAAATATGACTTAGTGACTATAATAGTAACTTTATTGACCATGATAGTGTTCAACTTTACATCATAGTGACTATATGCATATTAACCGTAGTAATGTTTTTGTCCATAACCTATACTACTTTAGTACTACCTCTGTTGTCACGCCCCGGACCTACCCGGACACGTCAACAACCCGCCGTACAGTACGAATAGTCAACCGCAGTCCGACTCATCCATACTATACAAGGCGTCTTGAATACCATTCACACATTAGTACATCCATAAACAAACACAATGTAAAACATTTATTAAAGCAGCGGAAACAATTGATACAAGTGTTCAAGCCACACTTGGCATAATTAGGCATGCAAGCCCCCAAAATAATTATTCAGAAAATATTATCCATGAGCATTATTTATATTGTTTTTCAAAACAAGAACGGGAGAAGCACGAACCAAGTCTTCTCCTCAGAAACTTCCCGAAACAGCGGCTGGTGGTAGCAACCTTCAAGTTCTACCTGAAACTATGAGGTGGCCTCCCCCGTGAAGGGGAGGTCAGTACTTGGAAGCATTTGACAAGTACAATGACAACTATACTAAGTATAATCAAAGTTTAAATCTCTGAGGCCCTCAAACTAGAGCATTATTACATTATAGTTAATCCGTTCATTTAATATCAATTCATCATTATTTACCACGGTCTAGAGCCCAGCTCATAATCACCGTTATCTACTACAGTCTAGAGCCCAGCTCATAATCACCGTCATCTACTACGGTCTAGAGCCCAGCTCATAATCACCGTCATCTACTACGGTCTAGAGCCCAGCTCATAATCACCGTCATCTACTACGGTCTAGAGCCCAGCTCATAATCACCGTCATCTACTACGGTCTAGAGCTCAGCTCATAATCACCGTTATCTACATCGGTTTTGAGCCCGGCTCATAATCACCGATTCCTTATAATTCAAATTCTTAGGATCTAATTCATCCATTTCTCAACTAACATTTCCAACTGACATTTCAAGGCTAGTTATTTATTTATTTCAATATAATTCTTTCTTCTTGCACAATTGGCCTTAATATCAAGTATCACTTTCATACCCTCATAGCTTCTCCTCATGGCATCAAAGTATACTATCTCAAATGATATTCATGGTTAGTACAACCATCATACACACATATTCACAACATCTAAACATACACAATTTATTCATAAATTTGTGTATCATGCATACTATACTTATAATCAATAGTAGTTTCATTTAGGCATTATTAACCATTAACAACTCATACGCATCATATTTGTATTCACTTAGGAAATCCCATGAAATTAACCCAAAGATTATAGGTTTCTCGATTGGACTTTGACCAACTCCGGCGAACTTTGACCAACTCCGGCGAACTTTGACCAACTCCGACGAAACGCCGGCGAGGCTCAAAAATACTTTAAATCAAGTTCCTAACAAGGTTTTATCATCACAAAACCCATATCAACACAAATAACCTATAAAAGGTTATTTTCCGGCAAACCGGTCGATTTGGCTTCTAAGTCCGCTTTTGGACTTAGAATCACTTTCCAACCCATCATTCCACACTTAAGTCATGTAGAACAATACTAAAGGCCTTTCATATGATATATATATCTTATATGCTAGAAGAAAAACAAAGGAAAAGTTATGATAAGGTCATTACCTTAATTTTCACACTTTTTCTTAGCCTTTTTCCTTCTTAAACTTCCTTCTTGGACTCCCTTGAGTTTGAGTTCGGATTTGGGCTATGGAGATGAGAAGGTTCAGAGCCTCTCCTTGCTATCCTAGGGTGCTGAATGGTGTGGGTGGAGATGGTGAGGTGAGAGGGGTGGTTTTTGTCTCATTTAGACAAATGAGTGAAGGGAGGGGGTCTACAACATGTCAAAGGTGTCTCCCCCATCCTCTGAATAGTTGTTCAGCCAATTTGGCACTCATCCAGCCCTCAAGGGTTGACAATTTCGTAGGGTGGCCCCCACCCAAGTGGGAGGTCATCCTAATTTGTCCCAAAGTGTGTAATTTGTCCCGAAAGTTGTATTTTTCCGGACTGTTTTAAGTATATTTTATTTTATCGTGTCAAATAAAATATAACACTTGTTCCCAATTCTTAATGGACCTTAGAATCGATATGCATCCCTCAACTTTAATTTAGAAGTCCCGAAATCCCTTTTCGGACTGTTATCTGATAGATTGCCGATACTGATAATTTGGCCCCGTTTGACCAACCGGTCAACCCTATGCCATTGTCATGGCTCAACTAGGATATCCACCACCATATACGTATTATCTAGTCCAAGATCAATATAATATGTGGCCCCGATAATATCGGGTGGTCCCCACTCCCGATGTGGGCCCCACGTGCAATTTACTATTCACGCGAAAAAATATAATACAAATTCACAACTTCGTAAATTCACTAAAAACTTCATAAGGTTCAATAAATTATTCGCTTAAAGGTAAATACATTTGGGGACGGTGTTACAAGTTCACCCCCCCTTATTTGGGATTTCGTCCCCGAAATCCACGTGTCTAATCGAAAAGGAAAGGGTACTGCTCCCTCATTGAGACCTCAGTCTCCCAGGTTTCTTCTTCGACTCGATCACTCCTCCAAAGGACCTTTACCATAGGAATCTCCTTGTTCCTTAGTTTCTTTACCTGTTGACCCACAATCTTCACCGGTTCCACTGCATATTGTAGGTCTTCACGTATCTCTACCGGTGGTTTCTCAAGGATATGAGACGGATCTCGCACATATTTCTTGAGCATCGATACATGAAACACGTCGTGTATCTTCTCAAGTTCTGGCGTCAATTTGATACGATAAGCCACGGCCCCTATCCTTTCAAGGATTTCAAATGGGCCAATGTATCGGGGGTTAAGTTTTCCCCTCGATATAAACCTGATGATACCTTTCCAAGGAGAAATCCTTAGAAAGACCTTATCACCGACCTCAAACTCCAATGGCCTGCGTCGTTTGTCAGCATAACTCTTTTGCCGATCTTGGGCAGCCTTGAGTCTATCCTGAATGACTTTCACCTTAGCCTTGGTGATTTCGACAAGTTCAATCCCCTCGAGCTTGGCTTCGCCAACCTCGTCCCAACACAACGGTGTTCTACATTTCCTCCCATACAATGCCTCGTATGGAGGCATGCCAATACTCGCCTGATAACTGTTGTTATAGGCAAACTCAACCAGAGCCAAATGCTTGTCCCAACTCCCTTGGAACTCCAGAGCATATGCCCTAAGCATATCTTCCAGAATCTGTATCACCCTCTCGGATTGCCCATCCGTCTGTGGGTGAAAGGCTGTGCTAAACTTTAGCTTCGTACCCAATGATAGAGTATATAGACTCGGACCCCCAGGTCTCACGACCATTGGGCCCGGACAACGGCCCACACACGTCTTACGGATATCATTTGTATTATTGTACTTTTAATATATCATTTGTATGTACTAGATTAGTCTTTTATGTAGTTGGGCTACCGGGCCCATATTAGCGGCCCGGCCCGTTATTCCTCTATTTATACTCCTTTTGGAGCTTGTAAACCCTAGCTCTCAATTCATTATCATTCTATTATTCATCTTCTCCACAACACTTGAGCTCAAATCTCTACATTTTATACATACTTGGATCCCTACGATCCATCAATGGCGCTCTCGTTGAGAGGTTGAACACAATCAAGTGAGAAAACCTCCCGCTTAACCAAAAATCCACTGAATCACACAAAATATTCATCCAAAATACAAGAAATGAGTCGGAAACTGTTCTGAAAATGTCAAGAACGGCAAAAAAAAATAAAAAACTGGATATGAAATATCTAGGCCGCCGAGCACTGCCGCGCCCCATCCACCATCTGCCGCTGCACCTGCTGAAGTTTGGGACGTCATAACAAAAATGGAATTTAAGATCTGGGATTTTTTCGGCCAGATCCGTTGTTTGTGGTCATCACCATCGTACCGCGCTCACCTACCGCACCTCTCTCTAGCGCTTCCGCCATTAATGGTGCTCTGAGGCTCTGTTTCTCAAGCTAGAAGCTAACCTGAAGAGGGCGGGGGTCGTTGCTGCTACACTTCTAGATCTCATCGTAGCCCACAACCATTGTAGCGTCGCCAGAAACTGTTCAAGGCCTACATCTCCACCTCCGTTAGGGTGAAGCCAGCTGCGCGAATGGCCGGAGGTTGCGATGAAGGACCCAATCCAGAGTAGCGACGGGTTACAACTTGAGGCAGCAAGTCGTCTTCCTGAACATTTCGGCCGATGCCGCCGTGGTCATCGCTGTCTCCGGTGACTTAAACTAGCCAGAGAACAGAGGGACGAAGATGAGCCTCCAACGATGATGAAATCTAAGGCCACAGC